AAATGTATATTCGATCTTCTTCATTACGTGAGTTGTGTTGTGTCTGGTTAATGTTTGTTATGGTCTTTTTCGTTAATATGGCTCTAGGACTATTATTGAAGAAGAAAAAATGATAAATGTTGTTAAAAGAGAAATGATGAATACAAAGATTGAAAAAAAAAATAAACACAAAAGAAAAGAAAGGATAAAATCATCCAGGCTGCTCAAATTACTTCTAGACCATGTTAAAAAAAAGTTAATGATATATTTAATGAAGTAATTTAAAAATTTAATAATTATTTTAGATGTTTTAAAATTATGAACTATAATCTAGCAATATATCTAAAATTTTTAAGTTCTTACTATCTATATGTTCTTTATAATTCTGATTTTTTTTCCTCAATTTTTGCTTAGTTTTTACTTATTTTTTATATTTGGAATTATGTTCAACCACTCCACTTATACATGCTATTAGACGGCCTTGAAATCATGAATCGACTTTCAAAGTTCCTTCCAAAGGGTGCTTGTGCTATTGCCTCTACTTTAGAGCATTGGCATCCTCGGTTGGTGACTCCAACCTCCCTCCGGCGGTTGTAGAGAAGGATTCTACATCAAGAACGATGATCCTGAGCACCAAGCACCAACCTTCCATAGCTGCCAGAGCGGACGTCCTATCAAGGTGGTGGCAACAGATGTGATGCGTAACACTGCCAAGCTGGACCGGTCCAAAAAAATATTGAGACCCTATGCTAAGTTCAAATTTATCCATCTATATTATTATAAATTTGAAAAATAGGACTTTAATTAAGTGCAATATATGTGTGTTTTGATAAATTAGGGTCTTATTTACTCTAAGGAAATTGAAAACAAATGAAGGGTCCTGTGCAAAAGCACTTTAAGCACATGCTCAAAGCCGGTACTGCTGCCAAGGCATTGATCTACAACATGAATTTGGCCGACGAATTTGTGAACAAAGTATCTGCAGAGAAAATGGAAATCTAGCGACCAGCATGTTGGAGGAGCTCACGCTGGTGATTCGATTACCTTAGCGGAAAAGAAGGAAGCGACAAAAATAGGTGTTCGCCAGGCTTTCAAGATGTTTAACTTCATCCCCAAAACTTGAGAATAAGTCACTATTGGTACGTCTTGTTGTGTGTGCTTCTTAATAAACGGTGTTGTCTTAGTGTTATCTTTGAATTTCTATCCTGCTACTTGGTTTGCTAAAATTTGGGCAATGTTTGCCTTCTTTATCTTTTCCTCCTCCTCTTATATGGAGTTTGAGCTTCTAATGAATAAATGAGTTTGACCCAAAAGAAAAAAGCAAGTTGCTTGAACTTTCATTATTAATTAACCCATACTTTTAAGTCTAATACATAGAACAAAATTTTTTATAGCGCGGTTAAAACATGAGAATAGATATATCGTTGGAATATATTCCCTTCGTTTCATATTAAGTGTTACAATAGATAATTTTTTCGTTACAAAATAAGTGTTGTTTTCAGTTTTCAGTACAAAATTTATTAATTTTCTTATGTAATTTATTTTTTATTGGTTCAAATATGGTTAGGTGTATAGGTAATTTTGTTTTTATATAGAAAATATACAAAATAATTGTTTTTTTAATTCGTGTGCAGAAACCTAAAGTGATACTTAAAATGAAACATAAGGAGTATAAATCCTAGATAACAACATGGGTAAATAAATCAGTTCAAAAAAAACCATGGGTAAATAAATGAAGTGAAACTTTAATTATATGACCGGTTGATACATACTTGACCTAACCACTTTAAATCCCAACTATGGATGTTGTTTTGACGTTGGAGATATCTTTCCCCCATTGTATGCATGTGTTCATCTTCTCGTGAGTCTTAAAGCTTTTTTTAATCACTGTTGAAACTTTTTTTTTAACATTTATTTTTACCTTGAATTTAGGAGAGTCGCAAGTCCGTGGATGAATTCCTTCTTCAGAGCATTCAAATGGATCCTAAAGCATGAACCCATATCCACATTTGGTAAACAGAATAATGTAATTTAATTTCACGCAGCAGGAAGATCGAACCTTAAACATGTTAGCATCCGAAACCCGTCTATTACCACCTGACCACAAGGCCGTTCAATCACTGTTGAAACTTACTGCAAAGTTTCTGACTTTTCTTTAAATCTTTAATAATGCTAAAATCTTGTGGTTAGTGATCATTCACGCTGGACCCAATCGGGGCATAAGACATCTAATATATTAAATAGATGATTATCTCGTGCTTATGCACGGTTATAAATATATAATAATAGCTGATTAATTTTTTATTTTTCATTTAAATAATTTTATAATTTATATTATTAATATTATATTTTTAATTAGAAATGATTTGTACATCTAATAGCTAGTTGGTTTAGTTATCATTTAAGTATATTATATTTCATCTACTTCCAATTATAATATTTTGTTTCTCTAAATATATTAATATTTTTATTATTATTTTATATAGGTTGGTTGTTCTCTTAAATATATAAATATATTTTAGTGAGATTTTGTATAACAGAATATATTTTTGTGAGAATAAAATAGAAAAAATAAACTAAAGTGTAGATTGATTTAAAGATTACATAAAAAAATATAGAGATAATATTTTGAGTCTCATGCATATACATCAAAACCTCTATAACTAATAATTTTAGGACTTTAAAATTTTATTAAATTAGAGAGATATTAATTTATAAAGAAATTTTTATTTAAATCTCTTTTTTAAATATATTTATTCTGAGATAAGAAAAAATTTGATTAATTCGTTTTTAATTTAAATTATTTAATAATATTATATTATATATAAAAGTTCATTAAGGATAATATTGATATTAACCACCTAAACTTTTAATATGGAAGTTTCATTGCGAAAAATCACTTCGCATATAATAGTTAGACTTTTAAATTCGTTAAGTGTACCTCTGTAGTTAACCATAACGAAAGTTAAATAGAAAACTAACTTCACTAATAATATTGAGATTGGGCAATGATAATGTAAAATAAAAGATGCCGGTTTCTTTTAGGCCCAAAGCCAGAGGTTCTCTAATACAGAGCAAGTGAGCAACCAAGAGTGTTCTTTTGCTTTCCTAAGTGATTTGTTTCTGGACCACATAGAAATCATCGATAAATGGTTTATGAAAACTATTTGACTAATAGTAAGATTTGCATCTAAACAGTAAATAGATTAAAAGAGAATCAGGATAGCAGCTCAGTATTTATATGTTCAAAACGGGACAAATTTTTGTGTTTGTGTTTCATGATTACAACAAAAGAATAAACTTATATTGACACTGAGGGATATTTTATCGGACAATCACACTACATTAGATTGGTCAATTGTTGTAGATTAGTCACAATGCAAGCCTGGAAGATGGATGGTTTATGGATACTAAATTTGTGCAGCAGAAGATGGTTAGATCCATGAATTATTATTTATAGTCCTGTGAAATTTGTGACATGTACATAATATAGAAGATAGGTTATGGATATTAAATTTGTGCAGCAGAAGATAGGTTATGGATATGTATATTAGTCACAATGCAAGCCTCGAAGATGGATGGTTTATGGATACTAATTTGTGCAGCAGAAGATGGTTAGATCCATGAATTATTATTTATAGTCCTGTGAAATTTGTGACATGTACATAATATAGAAGATAGGTTATGGATATTAAATTCGTGCAGCAGAAGATGGTTCATACATCACTTATAGTTCTGTGAAATTTGTGACATGTATAACATGAATAATGGAAGCTTTTTATGATGAGATTCTTAACGGAATTAAGAAATCGTCTTCTAACTTTTAATTAGAAAACTAAGAATTGGTTGTTAGGTTTTTAAGTTAAAAGTTAAAAAAAAAAAATTTAATTCCATTAAAAATTTCATTCTAAGAATTTTTCATTGTGGAAACACTGTAATCTAGTGGTTAAGGTTTAAGGGCTTCTATACCAAGTCTGGGTTCGAATTTCAGGCTACACAGTTTCTACACCAAGAGAATTTTAATTCTCGAGAAGGTAAATGAAGAATATCTCATAGGGAGGCTCAGGGTGATGCAGTGAGACGTGAATCTACATAAGGCAGGTAAAATTGTCGGCTGTAATATCTTCTATATAGTATTTCTCATAATTTGTAATGCATAATTATCCAGTGTTAAAAAAAATTCCTCATTAATTATGCTCTTAGAAGCCATTTGCATTCATTTTCGATTGGAAGGGGGAGACATAGCCGGTCATGAGCTAAGCCTAATGAAATATTTGGTTTAGATTCTTAAAATTTTTGAAAAAACTTATATAGACAAAAGTATCCAAAAATATATTTTTAGGCCTCCAAATTTACCAAAAAAAATTTTTAGTTCAAATCTTTAATAATTTTTCTAAATCTCCCGAAATCTAATGAGTATACACTTATAAATATATGCAGTGGCGTGCTTAGGTTATATGAGACCTAAGGTAAAATTTAAAAAGAAAAATTTGTATAGTTTGAACTTAGGGCCTTTGGGCACTCACCAACTTCACTCTACCATTACACTACAATAATCTTTCTAAATATTAAAAGAAAAATTTGTATACTTACTTAGGTGTGATAATTGCTCTTATCCTTTGTATGTTTGTTCTCCGCTCTGTTATAGCGGTTTGTTTAACCGTTTTGGCCTTGTTGTCATCTACTTTGAACAATTACTCCATGGATGGAGTGTAGTGATTTATAAAATTATGTTTGTCCAAAAAAAAAAAAAAATCTCACTTGTATAATAACGTTATGGACAAACGTTCTTCAAGGAAAAAGAAAAGTTCTTGAAGGATATCTAAGCTGTTATTTTGAATATAGCAAATAAAATAATGGTTCTCTTTTTTTTTTTTGAACTTTCTTTCTTGTCACTAATCAACATTGAATGATTAAATATGACTAAAGTGAACCCAAAATGTGAGTATTTTTAAAAATATGTACAAGTAACCAATAACTAATTCGCTAATACAATAAGATCAAACGCTACTTCGAATCGGCCCGACTCAGAAAAGACAAAACAGATCCGAAAAAACCGCTAACTGTTTTTTCCTCTGTCTTCTTCTTCTCGTCGCAACCTCCTCCAATCATCGAAAATGGCTGATGAAGTTTCTCTAGATCAGTTCTTGGCTGCCGCCATTGACGCAGCTCAAAAAGCTGGACAAGTCATTCGTAAAGGATTTTACGAGACCAAACATGTTGAACACAAAGGACAGGTTTCTTGATTTCGTTGGCAAAATGCTCTGTTCTTGTCCATACAAAACTAGTGACCATGTTCCTATATATATAGCTACACTGAATTTTTCTTTTTGTGGTATAAGGTGGATTTGGTGACAGAGACTGATAAAAGATGTGAAGAACTCGTGTTTAATCACCTCAAGCAGTTTTATCCCAATCACAAGGTCTTTCTTGGATCTTTTTGCTAGCTTCTTCTTCTTCTTCCTCAGCATTGCATTGTATTGTATTGATCGTTTTAGCATTTTGTTATGAAATATAATAGTTCATAGGAGAAGAAACAACAGCTGCGAATGGTGTGACAGAATTAACAGATGAACCAACTTGGATTGTTGATCCTGTTGATGGAACTACAAACTTCGTTCACGGGTATATCTTCTCATTTGTTTAACTGTTTTGTTTCGTTATTAGTATGTGCGTATTTCATTTATAAAACAAAAACGAAATGATGTTTTATGCAGGTTCCCTTTTGTGTGTGTTTCCATTGGTCTTACCATTGGGAAAGTCCCTGTGGTTGGAGTCGTTTTCAATCCTATTATGGATGAGGTCAAAAACTGACCTTCCTCATGGTTACTTTGTAGCAATCTTGGTCTATACTTGTTATACCATTATAGATAGTTTCCTTGACAATGATGATAATTTTTTTTACATAATGTCTAATAACAAAACAGCTATTCACCGGTGTACAAGGGAAAGGAGCCTTCTTGAATGGAAAACCAATCAAAGGTTAATAACTTTTATATACTTCTTTCAACACCTTTACAGTCTAGAGATTTTGTTGGTCAAGGTATATGTTAATATTCTCAAGATGAGAACAATGTTTTTTTTTTTTCTTTTGGCAGTGTCAACTCAGAGCGAACTTGTAACCTCTTTGCTACTAGCAGAGGTAAAAATACATATTTCCCTTTGTGTCTTATGAAGCCACATCCGCTCATCAACTTGTGTGTGAAAACAGGCGGGGGTTAAACGAGATAAAGCTACATTAGACGATGCAACCAACAGGATCAACATTTTGTTGACCAAGGTGTGAGAGAAACTTCATCATTTTGGATCTAACATCTGCTAATACTCATGATTGTATCTTCTCTTCTGTATTCATTCATCAGGTTAGGAACATCAGGATCTGTGGCTCTTGCGCACTGGACCTCTGTGGTGTAGCCTGTGGAAGAGCTGATATCTTCTATGAAATCGATTTTGGTGGTCCATGGTAAATTGCCTTAAGTTTTGGTTCTTGGAGAATCAAGATTTGATCTAAATTTGTATATTAGTATCAAATTTATCATTTTACAGGGACGTTGCAGCCGGAGTTGTAATCGTTAGGGAAGCTGGTGGACTTATCTTTGATCCGTAAGAGTTTTTTTTTTTTTTTTTTTTAAGATTAAAGCCAAACACACACTCAATGCTACAATGGAACTTGTTTTTGTTTGTGTGCATGTGTAATGAACAGAACTGGTAAAGAGTTGGACATCTCATCACAGAGAATTGCGGCTTCAAACGCTTCTCTCAAGGACTTGTTCGTGGAGGCGTTGAGACTTACAAATGTGTGAAGTTAATCTATTCTTTGTTATGGTCACACTTTATGAACTCATGCAAAAACCAGATATTGGTTATTGTGACAAAGAAAAGCATTTCTTTTTAGTACAATGTCACAACAAACAAGTGTTTTTTTCTTTTCTTTTGGGGTTTGTATTTCCATGATCACTCGAAAACTCTTATGTATTTTCTTTTTGCCAACAAGTATTAATAAAACTACCTACCAGTTCATTTAACCAAACCACCGGTGGAAGTGAATCTAAATATGTTTGAAGTAAGTTTAAGTAAATACTTGGCCTTCCCCGTTTAATCTTCTTCTGCATATCTTACAAATAGAAAGTAGAAATTCGGAAGAAGATGAAAAATGGTTAGCTAATTGCACAGCAAAACATGTGAATGATTAGTTAAAATGTCGAAGTAGACTGAAGAAGAATCACCTAGCTCTGGTGTAGAATTCACAAAGCTTATTACATGCGATTATTGGTGGTTGGTAAACAATTACTCTCTTATTCCAGTGTCCATGTTCTACATATTCATATTCTTAAACTCTTTTGTTTAAACAAACAATATAAGTGTATATAAAAATAACAAAGAGATTTCTAGAAACCAATTAGGGGTCATATATATGTAAACTAATTAGGGGTCAAGTGTTGAAGAAGGAAGACCACTAACTCTATTTTAACAATTTTTGGACTGAGTGTGTGTGCCAACCATATATGCTTATAACTTATCAATTGCATTCAGTTTTCCATTATAGCCAAAGAAAAGGCAAGGACATAACAACAACAATGTTATGTTATCTAGTTTATATATAACTTGAAATGGAGTCCACAAATAAAAAGAGAAAACAGACAAAGCAAAGGTCGGTTAATGCACATTGCACAATTGGTTAAACTAATTTTCCCATTAGAGCCATAAACTAATAAACACTAGTTACTTCTGACCTAATTAAAAGCACTCAACGCCTCATAAACATTATCTAGTATTTCACTAATCATATGGCTTACATTTTCACGTGATTTTTTAAATGCTAAAGTGTTGGCACAACGGGAATCAAAACATGCGAGTTTTGAGTATATCCATCACAGCACTGATATTGCTCCGTCATCACAACTTGCGTTCCTAACTTGATATACACAACACATAATCAGAAGTATTTAACCTATGAGTTCTTAAACATTCTTCTCTAGTCTCTTATGTATGTGCAAACGTGTTGAAAGATAAAATTATTTTTGCATTAAAAAAAACTTTATGATCAAATGAGCGAAATGTAAATTGTATGTATAGTTTACAAAAAAATAAATAAAGTAACTTGTAAACGCAATTTGCCAAACATGACGGAGCTTTATGACATGTTGTAGCATTTCATGACTTGCGTTATCTTATAACTTGTGGGTTGTATTGTTAGTTTCACTTTCACGTGATCCTCGTATTATAATCATAGGCCATATAGTAGCTGTACATATCATCATACGTATGTTATTTTCTTTTATGTGTGTTAATTTTTGTCTTTACTTGATTCAAAATGTATTATATTCTACACTACACCATCATCTTTTATTATGGCCATATGATTTAGCTTAAAAGTTATATTGCATATATAGATAATTTAAAGTTTTAAATAACAGCACTATCCAATCCATAAACAGAACGAAATCTCTATAAATCTCGTCGCTTAGATGTTAGTATTATTTATCAAAATAACTTTGGCTATTTATTTCTACATCTTATCAGTTTCGAGACTTAACGCAGGCGCCATAATTAGGTGTAACTGAATATTATTCACCATTAAGGAGTTAAGAGAGAGAGATTCTGATCCTAAACAAAAGATATTTTCGTGATTCAGAGAGGCAATGGGAGGCAGTAGCGTCGACGGAGTTTCGTACCGGAGCGACGGAGAATCGGACGTGGAGTTGGAGGATTACGAGGTGGATGACTTCAGAGATGGGATTGTAGAAACGAGAGGAAACAGATTCAACCCCCTAACAAACTTTTTAGGGTTAGATTTGGCCGGAAGTAACGGCGGAAAGTTCACCGTCATTAATGGAATCAGAGATATCTCTAGAGGCTCCGTTATACATCCCGATAACCGGTAACAACTTCAAAAAAAAAAAAAAAAAAAAAACAACAACTTCAAAATCTCATAATGTTTTAAATATTTTTTTCTGTTTTTAGTCATTAGTATGTTATTATTTTGGAAGTAGTCCTTGCATTTTACTTTATCATATTTTAGCTCACTTACTTTTCTTACATGGATTCATGGGTCCAATTGATTATGATTGTAGCAATAGATTAATTTCAGTAGTAGACTAATGTGTATTTAACTTTCAAAGCTTTGATGTGTGATTTTCGAAAACAAAACAGTAGCGTCAGATCAACAAGGTTTGGGGTCAATTATAGTGAAAACAAAAACATTAGGGGCATAAACGTATATTAAACCTTCCTTACATTCTCTCCGGTTATTCATCCATTTTCCCGCCACTTTATGACACGTAATCAGCTTCTCAACGATCACAAATGATCGTTCGTTAAACATCTAGAGGCTTCTTACCTAACAAAGCTATGTTTTACTGGGGTAATAAGTTTTGTTTAGCCAAACAAAAGATTCTGTCGGAATCTAATATTATCGATCAATTTGCAGGTGCTACAAGGCGTGGACCACGTTCATACTGATATGGGCACTTTACTCTTCCTTCTTCACTCCATTAGAATTCGGATTCTTCAGGGGATTACCAGAGAATCTCTTCATCCTCGATATCGCGGGACAAATCGCCTTCTTGGTCGATATTGTGCTAACTTTCTTCGTTGCTTATAGAGATAGCAGAACTTACAGAATGGTCTATAGACGCAGCTCCATCGCTCTACGGTATTAAAAGAATCTATCCCCTGCTTTTTATGAGAGATATGGATTCATATAACTCTTCATGGTGTATACCAATTTTGCAGATACTTAAAATCATCTTTTGTTATTGATTTACTTGCCTGCATGCCATGGGATATAATCTACAAGGTAAACATTTTTATTCTTTGATTTTGTTAACACCAAGAGAAATCAAATGGGAGATTTAAAACTGTTGGATTTGGAAATAGGCTGCAGGTGAAAAGGAAGAAGTGAGATACTTATTGTTGATAAGACTATATCGAGTTCGAAGAGTAATCCTGTTTTTCCACAAAATGGAGAAAGATATAAGAATCAACTACCTTTTCACAAGAATCGTCAAGCTTATATTCGTTGAGCTCTATTGCACTCACACCGCCGCTTGTATCTTCTATTACTTGGCCACCACTATACCTGCTTCTCAAGAAGGGTACACTTGGATAGGAAGCTTGAAACTGGGAGACTACAGTTACGCTAAGTTCAGAGAGATCGATCTATGGACTCGGTACACCACTTCTATGTACTTTGCAATTGTAACTATGGCAACTGTTGGTAAGTTCTGATAGATTTTGCTTTGGATACAAAAAATACCTAGCTTCAGTTCATATTAGCATGTACCCCTGGCCATTCGGGTTTGCGGTTTGGATCAGTTCTGGTGATTCGGTTTTTGGGTTATTCGGGTTAGGATGCTTAGGACCCTACCGTTTAGGGATGTAACATTTTTTGGATTAGATCAGTTTGGGTAATGTCAGGTTTGGATCTGTTTACTTTTTTTATAAAACCTGAAACAAACCAAATTAGAAACGGTTTGGATTTGGTTCGAGTTTAAACCCGAAAATCAAGTTACAAAATATTGGGGTTTTTTTGAATAATCTTTTATTTATAAATTATATTATATTATATATATATATATATATATAATTATTCTAAATCTATTAGCTTGTTTATCTTGATGCACAGGTTATGGAGATATACATGCGGTTAATATGAGGGAAATGATATTTGCGATGATCTACATATCATTCGACATGATTCTAGGTGCTTACTTGATCGGTAACATGACAGCTTTGATAGTAAAAGGTTCAAAAACAGAGAGATTCAGGGACAAGATGGCTGATATTATGAAGTATATGAACCGAAACAAACTCAATAGAAATATCCGTGGTCAGATCACTGGACATTTACGTTTGCAGTATCAAAGCAGCTACACCGAGGCAGCTGTGCTTCAAGACATACCTGTATCTATCCGCGCCAAGGTAATGATGATGAAATGTTTTAAATTTTCATATTCAAATGATTAAACAAATGTAGAAACTTATGTTTCTTTACTGCAGATTGCACAAACTTTATACTTGCCGTATATTGAGAAGGTTCCTCTCTTCCGTGGCTGCTCATCTGAGTTCATTAACCAGATTGTAAGACTTTGATTTTCAGTGTAAAATTCGAAAAATTCTTCATTCAGGTAACTTAATAGGCTACATTATATTTCTTTCAGGTTATAAGACTTCATGAAGAGTTCTTTCTCCCTGGAGAAGTTATCATGGAGCAAGGAAGCGTTGTTGATCAACTCTACTTTGTTTGTCACGGTGTATTGGTAAACAAAGTTCTTCCTTTTTTTCGTTAAATATGTTTTAAGGATGTCTGAAACTCATAGTTAGTATTCATAATCAGGAGGAGATAGGTACAGCTAAGGATGGATCCGAAGAGATAGTGTCACTTCTTCAACCAGATAACTCTTTTGGAGAGATCTCAATCCTCTGCAACATTCCTCAGCCTTACACTGTTCGAGTCTCCGAGCTATGTAGGATTCTAAGGCTAGATAAACAGTCTTTCATGAACATTCTAGAGATATATTTCCACGATGGACGGAGGATTCTCAACAATCTTCTTGAAGGGAAAGAGTCTAATCTCCGGATTAAGCAGCTGGAATCAGATATAACCTTTCATATCAGTAAACAAGAGGGAGAGCTAGCTTTGAAGGTGAACAGTGCTGCTTTCTACGGTGATCTTCACCAGCTTAAGAGCTTGATTAGAGCTGGAGCTGACCCGAATAAAACTGATTATGACGGAAGATCACCTTTGGTACATGCCTTCTCTGTTTCTTGAAGCAAACTTTGAAACGTATCTAATATGTTTTGTGTTTCTTTAACAGCATCTTGCAGCCTCTAGAGGATATGAAGACATAACATTGTATCTTATCCAAGAATCAGTAGATGTAAATATTAAAGACAAACTAGGGAACACACCGTTACTAGAAGCAATCAAGAACGGTAATGATCGTGTTGCGGCTTTGCTTGTGAAAGAAGGTGCAACGTTGAGCATAGAGAACGCAGGGACTTTCCTTTGCACAGTGGTTGCTAAAGGAGACAGTGATTTCTTGAAACGGCTTCTCAACAACGGCATTGATCCAAACTCTAAAGATTATGATCACAGGACTCCTCTTCACGTCGCTGCTTCTGAAGGATTGTATCTATTGGCAATGCAGTTGGTAGAAGCTGGTGCTAATGTTCTTAAAAAAGACAGGTTTGTATATAACATTTTGATTCTTTATTTAACCAAATAAAGAGCGGTTTGTTTTTTGGCGGTTTTGTAACTATTATTTGAATCAGGTGGGGGAATACTCCTCTAGATGAAGCCCTAGGTTGTGGTAACAAGATGTTGATTAAACTACTAGAAGACGCTAAGAGTTCACAGATCTCTTCCTTTTCAAGCAGCTCCAAAGAGCTCAAAGGTAGTTTTATTTGAGTATACACATATATATATTGAAGTAGTAATGTTTTTATTCGAGTTTTAAGACCTTTTATTTGAATAATCTGCAGATAGAGTATATAAGAAGAAATGTACAGTGTATTCTTCACATCCAAACGATGCAAAAGAAACAAGAAGACGTGGGATTGTGATGTGGGTGCCTAGAAGCATCGATGAACTTGTAAGAACCGCAGCAGAACAATTAAATATTCCTGAAGCTTCTTGTGTATTGTCTGAAGATGAAGGTAAAATTATTGATGTAGATTTGATTAGTGATGGACAAAAACTGTATCTGACTGTTGAAACATAAATGATTTTCAGACAATACAAAAAAAAAATAATCATGTTGTGTATTTTGTTTGTTTTGATATTAAAATGATTTCTTCACGTTCTTCAAATGCATCGAAGAATCAACACAGTTCGTCTTCTCGTTTCTACATCTGTTTAAATTCCGTAACAGCTCGCTGGCTCTCTGTTTCGTCTTCTCCTCGCAACCAACTTGTAAAACCACTAAGAGTTTCTCGAATGCACCAACTTGAAGAGCTTCAAGCAACACATCTTCTCCGTTCTTTCTCCATAGCTTCCAGAGAATGGAGACTGAGCATTGCGTTGCGAGTTCCGAAACGCGAAGAAGCTTCTTCACTACAAGAGGAACGATCAAAGCGTTTGTGATGATATCTTCTCTTGCTTGCTCGTTGTCGCATGTAACGTTTAGAACAACGAGACATCTCTCGCAAACGCTTTTTTCCGCGTTGTTGACAATCATCTCTGTGACCAATGCGACCAAACCAAGCTTCACGAACTTTGTAGCGATCTTGTTGTCGCACGAAACCGCTCTATAAATCGTCATGAGAGATCCTTTTGTCGAGCTTGTGGAAACAGAGTCTTTAATGATCTTTATCAATCCTTCACAAGCTCCTTCCATATCTGTTAACGCGTAGACATACTTCTTGTCTATTGCAAGAACCTCTCTTACACAAAACGCAGCGTTTTGTCTCGCTTTAGAGTCTGAACCGTTCAAGAACCGTGCGAGACGGTTAAGCGAAGCCGTTGATCCCATCTTGGAGAAACCCTCTGTTCGACTCAGAGGCAACCAATAAGTTAGAGCTGACAAGACTTCCTCCAGCAGACGCGTGTTTTCCTCACGCGTTGACGAGAATCTTTGGAAGCAAGAAGTCAACGCCGAGACGACTCCGTTTTGGAGCAAACACTTTTTGTTCCTGTCTCCGCTCTCTCTTCCCAAGTTCTTGATTCTACTCACGATTTGTGAACACTCGACATGTTCACCACGCGCCGTCGAGTTTTCCAATCTCCGAACTATCTCCGCCGCAGCACGTGGGGTCAACGGCATACGCGGTGACTGAACACGCTCTATCTTTGATGATCGGAGTTGAGTCTCAGCGACCGAGATAGTCAACTGATTACGTTTCTTTTCTCCTCTTGATCTCCATGGTAACACCATAACTTCTTCTTCTTTCTTTGTTTGGTTTGCTCTCTAACAAATTGAAAACACTCTTTGATTATTTGATAACAGCTGAAATGGTTAGATGTGATTGTATAAATAAGAATGTTTTGTTTTACGTGTTTTACATACATGCATGTGTGAGGTTTGGTAGTTATATATATGACATAGATGTGGTCAAAGGTTGTAAAAGGTTGAAAGATAGAAGAGGTATGAAATGGGCAACGTTGACCGTTGAAATCTTTGGTTTAGTACTCTTAGAGCATCCACATCAATGAACCCTAAGATGAGGTTCATTGATTCAATATTTTATTATTAATTTTTTTTTATTTTTTTTTAATTTTTAAAAAAAAAAAAATAATAGACAAATCGCGGGCCGCCACGTGTCGTGGGGCCCGCGCTACAGTAGTGAACTGAATTCACTGCAGAGAACTTTTAAGGGGCAGGTTCACTACTATTCATTATTTTAATATTTTTTTTTTTTGAAAAACGTGTGAACCCCATCATGAATCCTTGATGGGTGTGCTCTTAGTAATTAGATCATGCCAGTTACTAAAAAAACAATATAATAACAAACTTTTAAATCACGCGTGTTTTGCATAAATATAACTCGAGGTATTTGGAAATAGTATATGAATACTACTTACATTATTGAATGGATATTAGCAGGATCGGATTTGGCCATGCTTATATAAACACACTAGGTTTGGTCCCCAAATATTTTTAAATGTTAAAGTTTATTTATTTAATAAAATTATTTAAAAAATGTTTATAATCTTCTAAATTTCAAATCCGGCCTTGGATATTAGTTCGTTGAAGGATTGAGCTTGTTCATATTTGATAAAATCTTATAAATGAAAATGACGCAAATTTGTATACTTGAAGTAGATGGCTCAGGTAGAGAAAGTATGTGAGATTCATTATGCCCAAAACGAGTCATTGTTCAAAAATAAAATCAAATATATTACAGTACAGGATTAAAGACAAAACCGAGTAAAAGAAAGACTTTGGCGCAGGCGTGTGCGACTCAGGCTGGGTCGCACTTCCGTCTCCTGGTCGGTGTTTGTTTACTTTTCCCGCATTGAAATTAATTAATTAAATAAGCATAGCACTATACATTCCAATATATTTTCTATTTAATATGTACGTAATACAAAAGTCAAGAAGTATCTGTTCAAACTCGTATATTCTATTTCATACTATCAAAAGTCTGGTAACACAAATAAACGAAAGTTAAACTACAAAAAAAAAAATTATTTATCAAATTCGACAAACGTCCTGGAAAGTACAATTACCTCCAGCAGTAAAAAACCTGTCTCGCTTCCATGTGGGACATAAATAGAAAAATACACAAGAGATTTAACTTTTGTGGGCATTTAGTTTACGCGGCTTCTGGAGTGTTTATTTGGTTAGAACTTAGAAGTAGACATATCCATGTGTTGATTATCTCTTCCTTTACACGTCCAATTGTTTTGTGTATTTTCTTTCAAAAATCGTTTGGTTATATCCAAGCCAAAACCATATCAAGTGAGTATTTATTGTGCACCTCCACAGACCTACTCCATGGACTAGATGATTTCCATGAAGAAAAATGGTCATGGAGGTACATATTCAATCTTGTCATCTTCCGACACAAACTTGGTACAGAGAGAACCTATTTGCTTTATAGATGACTTCACTTCACAGTTGGTTTTTCAGACATGGACTAGCATAAACCATATGAAAACAACCACACGGTTGTCGATGACATCATAGATGAGTCTCTGTAAGAAAGAGAACACACTAAAAGTTAACAAAAAATTTCAAACAGAAGCAGAAACCCTAAACCCTAGGAACTGAGATTGAAGGAAAGAGTCACAAAAACATGAACTATATACTCAGGGCTAATTAGGGCAACCCCATTGAGTTTAGCAAAACGACGTCGGTTAATAGTAGATTGGGCTTTCATTTGGGGGGCACTTATTTCTATTGGGCTGTATAATCTGGGGAGTTGTATCTATACATTTTTCGCAACGGAACTCTCACGTTAAAAGTTGGAGCGGTTAATATCGTTTATACCCTTAATGAATAAAATTTATAAATCAGTTAAAAATAAAAACGAATTTAATACTTATTTGATTAGATAATGATGTAAATTAATAATAATGATAAGAATTATCCATAATCTAAATATATATTTAAAAATAAAATAAAAAGATAAGTCTCATATATATTGTGTTTTATCCCAAAAATATATTTTTAATAAAAAAAATTCAGAAACAGGAAACAAATAAATAAATATTCATAAAGTAAAATTTTTAATTGTATATAATTCAAAAAAAACTTG